CCCCAAAACCCCAAAACCCCAAAACCCCTTGACAAGTAATTAGATTGAATATAAGTAATAATAAATCTAGTTCAGCGTCAGCTTCCTCTTTCATCGCATTATTATAGTTTAATCCAAGTAATAACATCTATAAATCAAGTCTTTTGTAGAATAAGATGTAGGCATCTGGCTCTTCTTGGTTCTCATTTTTAACGTAATCAACTGAAGAATCATTGAAATAAAGCCAGTCTTTTCCTCTCTTGCAAATAGAGGTGTAATGGCCAAATTGGAGGCCACCAGAATGTAGCACTACACCAAAAAGAGAGTACTTCACGTCATCAGAACTATTATTTGAAGGTAGTGTAAATTCACTCTCATAATTCATATACTTCTCGATTTTCGAGTTAGTATAAGGAGAAAACCTCTGAAAAGTCAAAATCAAATATTTTGGGTGATGAATAATCTTCTTATACATCAAAAAAGTAGCTTCTACATGACATTGTTTACAATACATCTGTATTGGCTCTTTGTCGACGCCTAAATCCAAGAATTCTTGAAACCCAAACTCATGCATCTCAACGTATCATTGAATCGGGATGTTCTTAAACTCTTCATACTTATGTGGCCCATCTCTACAGTGCTCTCACTTCATGATGATCTCATACATCCCAACAAATAGTTCATCAATAATAGAGTTATGTGCCTGGAAATAGGCTATCCAGGGATCCTTGAACTCGTTAAACCCAGTCGACACAAAACTTTTTGTAGGGTCATTTAGCTCTTTTTGTAATTTTTCAAATAAAAACAAAATAAATTTTGAAGCATCATGTTGGTAGGAACTTGGAAATTCTCGTTCAAAAAGAGGCCTGAACTTCTTTGCTGACACAGAATAAGACTCCGAGTAACAATACCTGATCATGAAGTCTTGAAGCTTGCTTCAGTATTTAGGTTTATCGTGAGACATCTCGTAGTCATTTTGATGCTGACTGGAAAAAGTTAGGTGATCCCTCCTTTCAAATATGTGACAAAAGTAATTTACAAATTCAGGGATCGACATTAGTCACTGAAGTGCTGATATCATGAAACAGTCAAATCCTGGGTTTTTGATCCCTTTGATAGCAAGCTCAGTAGGTTCTTCTTCATAAGGGGTCTGTTCCTTCTGTGGAGGCTCTTCATGAGGTATTTGTTCTTCTTGAAGATCTTCATCTCTCTTAGGTGACTCTTCCTCTTTAGATTTTTCTTCATCAAAAGATATTTCATTCTTTTCAAACTTTCGCTCATTTCCATAAACAAAAGACGACTCTTGGAAATTTTGAATTTGAGGATTATTTTGGCTTTGGAACCTAATTTGTTTGTAATCTTTGAGTATTTCACCTATTTGGGGATCTTCCTTATGATATCCTTCGAAGTCTTCCTCTTTCTCACTGATCTCAGACTCTTCCTCTCCATACACAAGATCCTTAGGAGTATCAGGAGGATATGGAGGCTCTGGGATGTAAGAAGGTTCTGGAGTACATGAAAATCTAGGATCATGAGGAAACTCTCGTGGCTCTTTCAATTTTCTCAACCTTTTCTTCTTATTTTCTAATTTTCTTTTTTTCCTAAAAATCAGCGTGAAAGATATACTAAATCAAGATAAGACTCTTTAGAGCTCATTGTGTCTCTGTGAATATGTTCAGCAGGTGGGGCTGTATATTGATCAAAATATCTGTGTGCAACTCTATCATTTCTTTCATCATCTTCTCTGTCGAATCTTTTCTTCTTGATAGAGTCAACAGTTTTTCTGCTTCTCTTAAGTCATCAAAAATTGCTCATCCACGTAATTAAACAAAATTAATTTTTACAACTTGAGTTTCAAGAATTGGGGTTTTGGGGTTTTGGGGTTTTGGGG